GAAGGTAAAAGTGTCCGTTCAACGGAAGAATGTGAACCATTAACAATATTGAGAATATATATATATTATCATGACATAAACATACTGGTCAAACCTAACTGACCTTAATTTAAATTATGTGCCAAACAATTCACATTTCCTAGGGATAACAAGAGCTAGAAAAAAAATTTTGATGGCAAGATAATTCATTAATATTTGAAAGCTTTCTGTATTCCCCTGATTATTATATTAACCTGAATGTAGACAGCGACACATTACACGTTCGTTTTCAGTGAAGAGAAAAAAGTGATGATGAAGAAGAAGAGAAATAAAGCATAGACAAACAAACACAACAGTAGAACCAACTGCAAGAATGCTGACACTGTGGTGAGAGCAGGCTGCTAGCTAATCGGTAGACATTAATCTACGTCAATGTCTAGGTCACTAATATTGGCCGTGAGAAAATATGAACAAGGCTGATTCAACAACCAATCACAGCAGACTTAACGTGGGCAAACACGATTCGCAGATATACGTCTTAACTCTCTGAGAAACCAGTCACAAGCAGTACAGAATAACCTTGAGCAAGAAACAACCAATCAGAAAACTTTGTTTGTCTGCTTGAATAAGCTATAATAATGCACATGAAATATATATAAATACGTGCTGATTTCCGTAATAAAAACGATAGGCTGCCTGACTCTTGTCTTAGTCGTTACAAAACTATTCCTAATTTGTGGAATGTTTTAAATAGAACGCTCCGGAAATGCACATTGAGATTTATAAAAAAAAAACACCACAGCTCTAAGTGATTCACTCGCTTTAATAGATATTTCAATAGACAAAAAAATTAAATCAATATTCCTGATGCCTAGTTGTGGTTTCATTCTACTTGAGAGTTGTTCCGTGAGGCATATCATTTTAAAATATCATTTCTAATGTAAGAGTAGAATCTGGGCATTGCAGTAACATAACCTTATTTCTAGTGGACTGGATTATGCGGAACACAGTGCGTGGGAAGCGAGAAGACAGGAATACGTTGAACCACCAATAAGAAGACTCTAGAATATCTGAATTTCGCAGATAATTTATGTTAAATGTCACACAAACTCAAAAACCTACAAGCAAAATACCAACAGACTGACTGAAAGGGCAGGCAGAAAAGACATGACTGCAGGTGAACATGGAGAATACGGAGGTGATGAAGATAACCAACCGTCAGCAACAACAACAACAACCAGCACCAATCACCATCAAAGGGAGAGATTTGACGGAGGTTACTTCCTTCACTTATCTGGTCAGTAAGCATTGTTTCAATCACAGGCGGAACGGATAAAGATCTCAAAGCTGGCTAGAATCGGAAAGGCGAGATACGCCTTCATCAACCTGAAACCTGTTTGGAAATCTTCTACACTCAATATAAAGAACAGGATTTGGATTTTCAACACAAATATGAAGTCAGTGAGTGTTTATATATGGGTCAGAAACTTGGTGCATCACGAAAAGCATTTCCAATAGGCTGTTTCAGACTTTTATCAACAGCTGCCTTCACTCTATATTGAAGACCAAACGACCAGAAAGAATCAGAAACAAGAAACTCCGGGAACAAATCAACCGAGCGACAGCCGATTGCTCAACAAATGTGCAAAAGAAAACGGAGGTAGATTGAACATACACTAAGGAGGCAATCAAATGACATTGTACGGAATGCAGGCCATCGCTTGAGTGGAATCCCAGTGGGAAGCGACGAGTGGGTCGTCGGCGCGAGAGTGACATGGAGGAGATCTTGTTCAAGAGGAGGACATAAGAGATTATGGACAATCGTGAACCCAGCTGAAGAGGACAACAGAAAATAGAAAAAGTGGAGATGTGCTGTTAAAACCCCATGTTTCTAACGGAACCCAAGGGTATAATAATATATAATAAAAGAATTTAATTCCATACAAGATAAGTTCACTTGATATAGCACACAGAGATACATTTAAACTGGATAACGTTTTGAAAACAATTTACCGCTCATAATCATATCAGTTTACTCACAGAACTTGATAAATAGCTTTATATAGCCCCAGTCATCAATGTTTTACCAAGATAGGTATTGTGTCATGACAATTATAGGTGTTTGGCAATGATTCAATATACAAAGATTCGGTGATTAACTGGAAGCAGTGGGAAATGAGATCGATACTGACCCCGAACTTGCAAACAAAAGCAAGGTCTCTGTCAAAGAAATAATATTTATTAGGTGTTCAGTTATATCTGACCTCCATTATATTCAGATTTCAAAACAAACAAACAAACGGGATGACAATGTAATCACCAATATCCGCAACACTAGCGCAGATATGTTATTCATGAACATTTGGGAGCGTAAGGCTCTTAAAAAAGTTTAATCCCACTTCTAAGTTATGGTACAGATATGTAGATGACATAACCATTGTTTTAAAATGAGAACATATTCCCAAGTTCTTCACACATATAAATTCAATAGTAAATGGAATCCAACTCACTTTCATGTAGAAAATAAACAAAGTGAGTCGACTGTGCTAGACTACAAAATAAAACGAACACAAGATGATGAACTAGATACTGGTATCCACTGAAGATAGTCACATTCTTACGGATATATAGATTTTTCAGGATTTCATCATGAGCTGACATTGGTAAGAGAACCATTGGGAAACCTGGGAGTACTGGACAACTGTTTCGTCCTCGTTTGGAACTCTTCATCAGTACGCACCCGCCGCCAGTGTTCGAACCCAGGACCTTCTGGTTACAAGGCGAGCTGGCTCGTATATCATTAAGCAACTGGGATCCGATCCAATGGACCTTGAATTCTAACTTCTGCGAATTCACGACATAGCGCGATCGCTAGCCCGGTGGGTGCGTACTGCTGAAGAGTCCCAAACTAGGACGAAACGGCTGTCCAGTAATCCCAGGTTTTCCAATGGTTCTCTAACTAATGACATATCTCATGATGAAATCCTAAAACCAATCAAATCGCTACAAACCAACACTTGAATATAGATTTTTAATCATCCCATCTAAAATCAACAAAGTTAGGTTTTGCTTAACGACTGTGTGGTCAATTACACAGGTTGAACTAGTAGACACATATCAAACATATTATCGGAACACGGGAATTCAGCTAGAGGTAGGTCGACTGACTGTAACAAATTAGGTTATCTGGGAAAAAGAACTCGGTCATTACAATTCATTCACTCGAACCAACAGTAAACACACCTAATCGACATGATACAACAATTATCCCTGATATACAAAAATTGTAATTGAGAAATAGTGGGCAGTAAGATTGTATAAAGCAAGTTATCAAGTCGTGTGAGTACACTGTTATGGCTATGAGTAATAAATTGTGTTGGAAGCATGATCATCCAGTTATCGATTTCATGTATACAATCTTTAATATTATAAATCTCAGTTAACCGTCGTTTTAATAAACTTATGCAAAATATCAGTGAAAAAGGATCTAGCTTTATTTTGTTTGATTCATTCCCTTACGCAACCATTGGAGACTAACTAACCCACCTACCTTTACATAATACACATAATTTAAAAAGAGCTCATAAATAAATTTGCTTCAGATAGATATTGACTTTTTATTCTGTTTCCTTTGTTTCTCATTTCATCTAAGATAAAATACCCAGAGAAATGTTAGTGGTTTCACTTCCAACAGAGAATTCAATCACAAAAAGATTTCTTTAGATGACAACACTTAAGAAGATAAAATTATTTTAACAATCACTTGTTCACAGATCGAGTGACAGAGGACTCTGCTGCTGCTGCTGCTGCTTTGAATACCTATCGTGGACTAGGTGTCCATCTCATCTTCACCACCACAAATAACACCAATACCAAACTGCTGCTAATCTACGAATACCTCAGAGAATCTTACCGAAGAAATCTCTCGATTAATTTCTGTTTCTCAAAACTGTAGAAAGCATATAAGTGAATTTTCAAGTGTCAGTTTCTAGGGATTTGATTTGACTTGATTGGTTACAGAATTTCATAATGAACTGACATCGGTCAGAGGACCATTGGAAACCAGCAGAGAGTACTGGACAGTTGTTTCGCCCCAGTTTAGAACTCTTCATCAGTACTCACACCATAGGGGCTCGGACCCAGCACCTTCCGGCTACTAAGCGAGCTAACTCTTAGAAAATTAATCCACTTGGACCCGATCTAATGGCCAGTCCATGAATCCCAACTTCTGTCAGTTTATGATATAGTTGGACCACTAGCCAATGCCATTGGCAGCAAGAATTTGTCCTCATACGGGACTTGTTGTACCCCACTGGTCACGACTTCTTACTAGTACCCAGTTGAATATCCACCTGAATAGGCTGGAGCTTCAAATTGATATTCAAGCGGCAGTTTTCAGGGATTTGATTGAATACTGATAATTTTTTTGATTACAGCTTGATTCCACCACTGTATTTTTGGTACAAGTATGGAATTTTCAGCATTGATATCGGTAGCCCAAATTTTGTAGGCCGACCATAGATATCAGGTGTGCGTCGGCAGGGGATCGAACCTCACATCATGTGCATGATCGGCGAGAGTCCTAACCACTGTGTCACCGACTCACAAACATAATTTCTGATTTAGTTACACGTCAATAATATAATAGATATCTACTTTTTTTAGTCAGTTTTAGATAGATAGATAGATAGACATTGAAATGATTTGATTTCATTACAATACATACAGTACATAAATGTCCAAACATCCATTAAGTTAAAACAAACAGATAACGGTCAAAAGCAGGGGAAAAACAGAGGTGGAGAGAGAAGGACAGTGGTAGTGTGTAATAATTCAAGTATAAATTGCTTATGTTCTTCATAATTAAGATAGCTAGAAAATAGCATCTTTGGAAATAAAATCGATGATAAAATTATAGTAGGATGGTGTGCGTGAGTGAGTGTGTGTGAGCTAACAAATGAGTAATAAATCCATGCACATAGACAAAATTTGGTTTGTATTTCTTTTTATAATGAACTCACGAGTACTGCTCCTAGATCGAATTTCATCTGGATCATCTGAGCTTGGATTGCGAAGTTTACGATCCAACAGAAGAAAATATATTACCTTTTCAGTATTATGACTAAAAAGGAAGGCAGAAGAGTAGAAAATAATCTGAAATATGAGTGATGTAGTTCATCATTAAAATAGGATAAGCTTATTCGACTAAGATATTTTTAACTGAAGTTAAACACAGTGAGTTTCCCTATCTGATGAAATACAATGCTTACTATGGGGAAAGAGATTAGGTATGACTGGAACAGTATAAGAAAGTAACTCATAGTTTTAAAAACTGATACTGGAATACGTATGATATAAATGTTTGCTAACTGTAAGAAATCAGTGACTGGATACAGGATGAGATATGCTTCCTATAAAGTTAAGATTTCTCATCACTTTACACTATGATTCCTTTTTGAGTGATCTGTTGGTTTCATTGAATTACTTCCCAGGCAAAACTTGTGGACTTGAACGAATGATAAGTTATAACCAAAGAAAAAACGGAGAGTCTGTGGTGTAGACTCCTGTCTAAAATATGTCTACTAATACTTCAAGTAACTTAGTGACAGCAATTTCATTTTTGTAGTATGGGCGATTTCTATGGAAAGTTAAGCACATCGAGGAATTCTATGACACCATGAAATACAGTAGACTTTTAAGTAAAAGGACAATGAACATATCTGAATGGTAGTAGTGTTTGCCCAGTAACGTAATAGTGAAGCTCCAACCACCTAACAAGATGTTAATGTACACTTCTGGAGAGTCGCGAACTATAACTATGTATATCGTCACACATGCATTGGAAGGAGTAATCACGCTTTGTACATGAGTAGGGTAAACATATCACAAAAAGACTTGAAGAAAAAATCCAACTGTGAAAGTTAAACAAACGCAGTTAGCAGATTACCAACTTCGTCTATGGAAAAACACTTAATTCAAATGAATCACCAGATTGGTATCAAAACACTGCCAGGATGATCTATAAGAACGGTTAAGGGGTGCATAATGAAATACACTCAAATGACAGCTATCCGTAAAATTAGGCATACATCCCCCCTCGCTACTGTATGTACAAAACAATTTATTATTACCCTTGACGTACTTTGGTAATTATTATCCTTCTAGCTCTTAAATCCCCTATCACTTTGTCTGTTTTAATTAACCTACAATTTTTCATATAAATTGACTTGGCAAATAAGTGTGTGATCAAACTGCTCAAAATGTATTCCTCAAAGGCATCACTTTCCCTATCAGACAAACTCCGTCTTCTGATAACAAACAATCTAGTTTTCAAATCCTTCTCCAACCAATATTGTTTTTTTCTCTCAGAAGAATGGCTGCTGAACAAAGAATATTCTTTTCGATAACTTCATCATCTGGTTCGACAGTTATATGCACACAATAGTAAATGAATCAGTGCCAAAGACATCCAGGTACCGCATTCTTTAAACAGCTGAGGCTATCGCAATTCACCTTAAAAACAACCGGCGTTCTGTGTGCAGAAGAAGCAAGTCCAGCCACTACTACTGCCCTGACCAGCCTTCAGTGAAGACTATAAATTCATGAATTTGTACTATTATCTTTCCCAATCTCTCTGATATTCATTCAGTGTATTGTTATGTTGATGCTATCGAACTGTGATCTATTGATATTATTATTATTATCATTATTAATTGATTCGATGTTATTTAAACAAACATTATTGTTATTAATAACACTAATTCATTCACTGTTAGGTATATATATAACTGTAGAACCTGATGAAGAAGAGGTTATCGAAAAGAATATTCAAGTGTTGGTTTGTAGGGATTTGATTGGTTTACAGGATTTCATCATCAGCTGACATTGGTTAGAGAACCATTGGAAAACCTGGGAGTACTGGACAGCTGTTTCGCCAGCCTAGTTTGGGACTCTTCATCGGTACGCACCCACCTGGATTCGAACCCAGGATCTTCTGGTTACAAGGCGAGCTAGCTCGTATACTATTAAGCCACTGGGACCCAATCCAATGATCCTTGAATTCTAACTTCTGTCAATTCACGACATAGCGCGACAGCTAGCCAATGTCTTCGGCGAGTATTTGTCCTCACACCCGACCTGGTGCACCCTACTGGTCACGACTTCCCACTGGAACCCAGGTAACTACCCACCTGAATAGGGCCAGTCGCCAGTGAGCATCTCATTGGTATTCAGTAGGGTGCAGCAGGTCGGGTTTGAGGACAAATAGTCACCGAAGACATTGGCTAGCGGTCGCGCTATGTCGTGAATTGACAGAAGTTAGAATTCAAGGACCATTGGATTGGGTCCCAGTGGCTTGATGGTATACGAGCTAGCTCCCCTTGTAACCGGAAGATCCTGGGTTCGAATCCCGGTGGGGGGGTACTTCTGAAGAGTCCCAAACTAGGACGAAACAGCTATCCAGTACTCCCAGGTTTTCCAATGGTTCTCTAACCAATGTCAGCTCATGATGAAATGCTGAAAAGAATATTCTTTATTGAATAACTTATCTTTGGCAAAAAAAATTTAATGCCGGTTTTAAATTAGTTAATATTGATTAGTAAATTAAGTTAACAATGAAACAAAACCTCATACTAGACACTTTATTAAATATATACGAAACATCCTGCATCTATTATATATTGACTTCCTACAATCAGTTATTGATTTTAAAAGCTCAAAGATATCGCAAAATATCAACTTATTTCATTCAATTTTCTAATATGAAATTAATTCAAACTTTGATATTATTTTAGATTTTTTTTGACGAAATTCCTAACAAGAAAAATCAATCAATACCTTTTCTTTTCCACATAAAAACTAACAATCAATATATAGTTTTCTTTGAAAACAGATTCTCCTTTACAATAACATTTAAATATTCTATTGAGTTTGATTGAAAAATCATACTTGACATCATTCGATTTACTATATATATTTGCGTGACAAGCATATTTATTCAACAACAAAGAAAAATTATAGTAACTATGGATTTTTATCAATCTGTTATTCCGATCCATTCTACTACTGAGGAAGGTGAATGTACCATTTTTTTCAAATATTGTTATTCAGTATTTGATTCAACTTGATAAACTACCATTTTTTTAAAAATATCTCCAAAAAACGCTTATTCCTTTGTATACAAAATGGAGAAGTTCCGAAGTTTTAAATCTTGTCCTACCTTATATATTGTGCTCTTTTTATCATCGATTTGCGTTGCGAGTGGAACATAGGGCTTCAAGATTTGAAGTGTCAATAATGATAGAGTCGGGGTATGGTTGCTAGTCTCACGCCAAACTTTCCTTCTTTTTCGGAACATTACATGGCAGGCGCGTTTTAGAAATGAGTCGACCGAGAGTCAAACTGAGACCTCCTCAAATAGCTGGTGGATATTCTATCTCTGGACTACAGACTCACTAAACTAGTGATGCCGTAAGAGGATTAAATGTATAGAAAGCATCAGATAAAGATATACAAGCAGACGTCCAAGAATGAGGATACCACACAGGTGTGTACATGGACATATGACACATGGCTTTTTGTATGTCGGTGGGACAGTGGCTAGGACTCTCGCCGACCATGCACATGGTCAGAGGTTCGATCCCCTGCCGACGCACACCTGATATCTATGGTCGGCCTGGAAAATTTGGGCTACCGATATCAATGCTGAAAATTCCATACTTGTACCAAAAATACAGTGGTGGAATCAAGCTGTAATCAAAAATAATAAAATAATAAATAGTACAGTCAGTCTTGTATAGTAGTAGTCTGTTGCTTTTAATATCAAAATTTTAGTTAAGAAAAAGAAGAGGAAAAGCCTAATAAAACTAAGTGACATGCCCACCCTTTTATATTTTTTCTGATTATTATTCTTTTATTTATTTATTTTTTTGATTACATGGAGTCATTATATAACACATACATTTACAGATAAATTCATTGGATTAATATCAATTAAAGAATCATTGAAAATCAGGGAGTACTGGACAGCTGTTTCGTTTTATTTTAGGACTCTTCATCAGTACTCCCTCACTGAAGTTCGAACTCATAACCTTTCGGTTACAAAGCAAGCCCGTTAACCATTCACTCACTAGGAGCTGACCCAATGGCCCAGGAATTCTAACTTCTACCAATTCCGTATATTTTAGCGTGACTACCAACCAGTGTCAATGGTGAGTATTTGTCTTTACTCGCGACTTCTCACTAGAACTCCAGGCAATTTCCTTCTATAGCTAATCACTAGCGAGCATCATAATAGTTTTCAATGGCCTATAAGCTTGCTTTGTAACTGAAAAGTTGTGGGTTTGAACCCAATTGGGTGGGTGAGTATTGATGAAAAGTCCCAAATCAGAAAGAAAGAAAGAAAGAGCTGTTCAATACTCCCTGGTTTCAATGGTTCTCTAACAAATATCAACTCGCAGCAAACTTGAAACAAATCAAGTCTCTGCAAACTGACTCTTGAAGATAAATTCCTTTTAGGTTCACGTCAGTAAAAAGTTTAAGCATTGTGGAATAGATCAAATAGAGTTTTGTTTTTGGTTTATATTTCGAGCAAAATTACTGCCCATGTTCATACCACTGTTGGCATTGTTTTATTCACACATTTATGATTTGTACTCATATATATAATTTTTGTTTTTGTTCGTTCAATTTTCTGTATTCAGACTTATATTCCAGGTTGTTGACAGTTGTACTGAGTCCCCCTTGTTACATGTATCCCATGTGACCTTAATGAATGTAGATTCTGTCTCTCTTTCCATTTGTTCATATTAGTTCTTAGAGTACAAACATTGTTCCAATCGATAATGTGGATTTTGTCCCATCCGTGTGCAGCTATAGATGAATTTTTTTTTCTAAATTCTTGTAAGCTTGTGTTCCTGTTGGTTGACCTCTTAGGTTATCTCAAGTAAGCTCTACTGATTACTAGGCTTATAGGTCACGATAAAGCTTCAGTCGGTGACATCAACATGTCTACACCAGTTTATATATTCACAAGTGTACAGGTTCGTTGATAATCTCGGGGAAACGAACAATTTTCTCACAGTTTCAATCAGCTTTTTTTTAAATGTATTTTTACGAGTTGAT